CCTGCTGAGCACGATGCCTGAGTTATTGCAGACAACAAAGGTGCTTCATAAGACACAGGAAGCATTTAGGGGTTTCCAACCTGGTCAGTGGAGATTTCATGGTTTCAGATGTGCACTGCCTCTAGAGCCAGCCTGGACAAAAGAAATGGGACCTCAGGGAATAATTCAGAGAAAACCAGTTGCAGGCAGGCAGTGGTGCTTTCTTCCAAGTCAGCTGAGGCATTGAAGCAGTGAAAGAAGATTTGATTATAAAGTGTTACATTTATAATATGTTTTGTTGCTGTATGTAACTCTATTTCCTGTACCATAACCAACATTTTGCTCTTTCTCTTTATAGCATAAGTCATGTTTGCTGGTTGGCTTTGAGCCTTGATGTCATGGTTTAAACCCAGCTGGTAACTAAGTACCACAGTTGCTCACGCTCCTCCTTTTTGCCCCCGGGTGGGATGGAGAGGAGAATTGAAAGAATGTAAAACCTGGAGATTGAGATAAGAACAGTTTAATAATTGAAATTGAGTAAAATATAATGATAATAGAAATAATACCAGCAATAACAATACTGTTAATAATAGTAGAGAACAACAAAAAAATTCAGAAAACACAAGTGATGCACAATACAATTTCTCACCACCCACTGTCCAATACCCAACCCATCCTGAGCAATGGTCAGTCCCTTCTAGGTAACTGCTTCAAGTTTATATACCACGTATGATGTGCTGTGGTATGGAATATCCCTTTGGCTAGTTTGGGGCAGGTGTGCTGTCTCTGCTCCCCCACGCTGTCTCTGCTCCCTCCTGGCTTCTTGTGCCCCTTCTCACTGGCAGAACATGAGAGACTGAAAGTCCTTGACCAGGGTAAGCACTACTTAGCAATAACTGAAACATCGGTGTGTTATCAACTTTGTTCTGGGACTGAAGCCAAAACACAGCACTGCACCAGCTACTAGGAAGAACACAACCAAGGCAGGGCAGCTGATTGCTGTACAGCCAGCCTTGCTCATAGCATGTTTAATCTTTCTGCTTCTCCCTGTAGATTCCCCTGTCCATGCCAGCTCCACATCTGTGAGCCTGTCGTCAAGCCTTTCCTCAGGAAATTCAGTGGAAGGGCACCACAACTACCTCGAGGCCCCTGCAAACGCCTCCCGGGCACTGCCATCCCCCATGAATGCCATCGGGTCTCCAGTCAACACTCTGGGCTCGCCGTACAGAGTCATCGCGTCCTCCATTGGCTCACACCCCGTCTCACTGTCTTCAGCCCCGGGCATGAATTTTGTGACACATGCAAGCCCACAGGTAGGCAGAGGTGCACATTTGCTTTCCTACAATTCACAGTGTTCAGACTGGAATTTGAGGGCTGGGTTGGCTGGTGGGGAGTCTGGTGTGTTTTTGGCCACTTAGGGAGATGAGCTGTAAAGAACAATTTCCAGCATGTGAATCTTTCTGCATAAACGCCCCTGGCACAGACACAGAGAAGACACCTGTATATATTTCAAAATACCCTGCACAGTAAGTGGGGAGAGACAATTCCCAGGTTAGTTCTCACTGTGAGCGCAGTCCAGTTCTCCTCCAGTGCATCTTTTGCAGCATACATAATTACTGTACATGGAAATCATCAGGATAACCAAGGGCTGCAGCACATGAAGCATTCCTCTTCTTCCTGCAAAAGGATATCTGCTTTGTTTCATTATTTGGAAAAGAGACAGACTTTCTAGAAAGAGACAAATGTTACTGCTAAATGCCAGCCATATACTGTGTTGCACATAAACTTTGCCTGAAGAAAATCAAGGCCTTGTTATCCTTACTGCCTGAGCTCACTCAGGTGCTGAGGTTTCCCCTCCAGACAGTGGAGAGACCCAGGTGTTAGGACTGGTGCTTCCCCAGAGCCATGGATGGGCTGGGAGCCTCCTGGGGTGGCTCTGTGGGGCAGGGACATGGACAGGCTGCCCCAAGAGCCTGGCACCACCTCTGGCATGGCTGGGACCAAAGTGGCAGCATGGAATTTTGTTAGTGTGCTGAAATGTTCTGGGAGTCCAGATCTAAGCAGAAATTCTGCCTTTTATTAACAAGACTTCATGTTTTATTAGTGAGACCCGAAGGTAGGAAGTGCTCAAGAGCCTCTGGGCTCCTGCTAAAGAAACAGCAAGGGGATGCTTCCTGAGCCCTCTCTGCCCCATATACTGCTGTAATTCCACAGTCTGTCTGAAGCTCTTTCTCGTGCCTGACACCAAAGCTGGGAAAGGATGGTGTGGGGAAGTCCTTAAATTGCTCTGAGAGAGTATAGGGTGATCTGGCAGGTTTGGTTTACCTTTTACCAGCATCCTCAACTCCTGTGTGGTTCTGGGCTGACTGCAGTGGGTGTGCCGAGCATCCTTCCTTCCTTTGCACCATCAACTGTTCCCCATCAACCTGACAATACTTGTACCTGTGGCATCCGGGGCTGGTGTTTTGTGGTGATGGAGCTGGTGGCAGCACTGGCTGCATGGAAGCCTTTCCTTTGGGGTTGGGAATGCTCCAGGAAGTGGTTTCCCCAACCCAGGCACTGTGCCAAGTTCCCAGGTCTGAGGAGCAGGTTTCACTTGCGTTGCCTCTAATGCAAGGAGACAGCTGGGCCTTGGGGATTCAGCAGGGAGGCAGCTAATGGATTTGGGTTCAAGCAGTTGTCCCAGATATCATACGTGATTGCACTTAACCTGCAGGAGTCAAGCTCTGAGGACACTGATGGCTAAAACTGCCCCATTCCATCCCCCTCCCATACATCCTCTCCCTTTTACTGTCTTAAAGTGCAGTCAGAGAGAAAGAAAAGGTGGCAGCTGAGCTCTGAGTAACATTGTAAACCATAAGAAGTTCCTCCTGGCTCAGCATCTTGCCAAGAAAAAGTTTTCAGGTTAAAAAAAAGGTGGCTGGACACTTGTGAGGAGGAAGGGTTTGATTTCCCCTTTCCTTGGGCCAAGTTCAGATACTGAAGCATTAGGATTTACAGCTGCTGGTGCCTGGGCTGGGTTGCTGCTGGGGAGAGGGAACCTCTATTCCTCTGGGCAATTTTTCCCTATGCACTTCTATTTTCCAGAAGGGCAAAACAACCTGCTCCTAATGTGGTAATTTTTTGCTGGATAATTTGTATGTTCAATGTCATCAGAACATTTTGAAAATGCAGGGACAGTGTGAAGAAAGATAAATACAGGCTTCACCTTTTTATTTTGTTATAATGACAGGTCCAAAAATCCCAATGGGATGAACTCTTCTTGTTCTTTGCTGAAATTCCCTGTGGAAATTATTATACTTTTTCATGGTAAATGGGCAGTTTCTTGGAGCAAACGGAGAATTTTCAACAGCATGTGTGAAATCTAGTGGTTTAGATGATATGGAGACTTCAACAAAATCTGTAACTGCATTTTCATCCAAAGCCTTGTTTTCTGTCCCTGCTTTCTCCCTCTTGCTGGGAAGAACTTTATCTGATAAATTGGGGTGACCGTTAAAAATAAGATCAATAATGAAGAAACCATCCCCAGCTCTCAAGTAGTGGCACTGGGAAAGATGATTTCATAGTGGTTTTGGGGAGACATTGCTCTGCCCAGACACCTTTGGACAAGACGTGCTCAATGGCCCTTAATCCTTACTGCCCTGCCGACAACAGCTAGAAAGCAAATAGCAATAAAACGAAGCCCTGGGCAACATGAGGCTTTGGTCTCTAATCGATGCCGGTTTGTAACCTTTAACTTGCAGCAGCCATGAGCAGCTCTTAGGGATCTCAGCTGGGGGCTCTGGGCCATTTATCTGCATCTCACTGAAATTGATTTTTACATGCTTAGCCCGTTCCCTTTTCTTCATCTAGTAACCCCAAACCTACGCCATTCCCTACGCTGTGATAATGTTTAGAGACCTAAGTCCCAGGGAGTGACCAAGATGGTCATGTTTTCATGTGTTCATGCAGATTTGTCTATCGTGAAGCAGGGAAGCTATGTCATTCAACATCATTGGGACTTCCCTAGCCATGCAGCAGTGCAAGTTTCATTGCAACAAACTGCCTGGCTGCAAAGCTCTTCCTTACTAAGCTATTAGTGCTCAAGGCTGCAAACAGCCAGTGATCAGCATCGTCTAATGAAGCCAGCCCTGTTGCTTGGAAGCTGTAACTGAGCAGCTGAGGGTTGCTGCCTGCCCTTTTCCAGCTATGCTGAGTACTGGCTTTGGTTACAGCATCAGGGCAGGATGAGAGGCAATATCTGCTACCAGGCATCTGCTAAAACCCCTCCAGCTGGATTCACCAGAGGATGTCTCTCTGCCCACGGCAGCCCCATGGAGTTGCTGGGGATAAGCTTGTGGGATGAGCCCAGCAGGAGCAATAAAGGAGGGGTCAGCTCAATTTGGGAATGGTTTCACTGGGGTTTGAGTCTTGATCCTCTAACCTGTCTTGTGGCTTCTGCTATTGCAGCTCAATGTCTTGAACAATGTCAGCAGCTCAGAGGATGTCAAACCCTTGCCAGGTCTCCCAGGGATTGGGAACATGAATTATCCATCTACAAGCCCAGGATCCTTAGCCAAACACATCTGTGCCATCTGTGGGGACAGGTCCTCAGGTAGGAGGTTTTCTTTCATGGAGAAGGCTTTGTGCAATGAAGACTCCCCTGATGCTCTGAAAAGCAAGGCTTGTGCAGGAGTGAACCCTGTGGAAGCTTGCTGGTGCCATACTGGCATTGTAGGATTCATAGCTAGGTCTGGCTTACCCAAGGGCAGGCTGTTTTGCAGATTAGTTGTGCTGTGCCCAAAAGAGAGTAAACCTACAAGCTGTGTTCTTCTCACTTATGTGTATAGTCTTATTTTACATTTTGTCCCTGTTTATAAAAGGTAAATATAAAAATTGTATTCTTATTTACCTGTGCTCTGTGTTAGCAAGGCTTTGCTTCTGCCTGGCTTTTCCCTCGTACTACAGAGACCTGCAGTCTAGCTGTGCCTTGTGGACCCCCTCCATATCAGTGCACCCCATTTGCTACCTGCTACATATACCTTTTATACACTTGCACTGCAGCCAAGATGTGGCTCCACATCCTTACCCTGGGATGCAGTCCCTCCTTATCACAGGAAAGCAGCATTCCTATAGTTTAACTGCTGCAGGTCACTATTACTGCAAAGAACCCCTAAAACCAACTCAGGCCTATGAAAGTGATACTGTGCAGCCAGGTTTTTCACCTTGGGGCTGGTTCAAGCTTCTCTATGCTGTAGGGAAGGGCAGATACCTGCCTGCCCACTGATGGCCTCCCCTTGGCTCCCCAGGGAAGCACTACGGGGTGTACAGCTGTGAGGGCTGCAAAGGCTTCTTCAAGAGGACAATCCGGAAGGACCTCATCTACACCTGCCGTGACAACAAGGACTGCCTCATAGACAAGCGCCAACGCAACCGCTGCCAGTACTGCCGCTATCAGAAGTGCCTCGCAATGGGCATGAAGAGGGAAGGTATGTGAGAGCTGGTGGAAAGAATGGGCTTAGAGAAATTTTCCATACATTCTTTAGGGTAAATCTGGCTCTTGTAGCCCTCCAAGGCTAGAGCATTCCAAAACCCCACACTGACAGTTTCAGGGCGTTTTTGATCTTGTCATGTTCCCTGTAGCATCATCAATGCTGTGCTGCTTCAACTGCTTAGCACAGCGGGGGATTGCAAAATGCCAAGCTTGAATCAAAAATCTAATCCCAGGCACAGCTCTCCCTTCCAGCTGGGTGCAAAGTGGTTCAAAGCACCAGGGTGTCAACTCAACTTTCCTTTGCAGAGCATGAAAATGTAAACACCAGGATCTTGGTGAGTCCTTGTAGGGGTTTGGCTGCAGTAATCACAGGGGCTTTCTGGAAGCTGCTGAAACTGGGGACAGATTGCAGCTTGAACATGAGTGGAATCCTGGATGACTTTCCACTAAGATTCTGATGACTTTAGAAACACTTTCCTGGCTTCTTCCTGTCCATTACTCTAAAGAGGACAAATACTTCCCCCAGCTGGTTGGCACATACGAGAACATCCTGTATGTCCCACTGAGCCACCTCCTTGGGTACTGCCTGCCAGTTCCCCAGTGCTGGGCAGTACTGGGAAGCACATCCTCCCAGCTGGGAGAAATTCAGGGAAGTGCAAAGTGGTCATAAGTCTCAGTGCCTCGGGGTTTGGTCATTCCCCTGAAAGCACCCTAACGTAAGCCAGAGTAAGGCAAGACTGTTGCAAGGACTTACTTCCTGACACCACTGCGAACAGCAGAGCTGTAAAGACAGATGGGAAAGAAATCTCCTAATCCAAGCAGCTGACCTAAAAGGTTGTCACACCCTTCTTCCATCAGCACTTACCTAATTGAGAAAATGGGGGTCAAATTCTCCTGCAGGCTTGCTATGAGCTATGCTGAGTTGGTCCCTTCCTTGGTATTTACGCAGGTCCCCTCTCCTCTTAAAGGACTTTTTAATCCCTTGGCCTTGGTGGTTTTCCCACTCGTCTGGATATTGACTGCCTGGTGCTCAGCTAACAGGTGGGGAAGACATTCAGCTGTTGAATATTGAAGCACCAATGTCTGCATGGCAGGGGCCAGCTTTGCTGCCAGCTTCTTCCCCCCTGAACCTTTCATTTCAGGTGTATAACTGCCTACAGCTCAGCACAGGCCGTTCTTTGAGACCAGGCCAGCTGTCTACTTGTCCCTTAGGGGTTATGGGGCACTTGGGCCCTTGCCAGGTGCTGTGTGGTCACATAGAAGAGCGATGCTAGCAGGATTTAGTCTTGGGACATTTCTGCCCAGCAATGAACTAAACCGATATGACACCTGCTGGTCATTTGGTTTTTAGCAGGATATTCTTATTTCCCATTGGGATTTTCTCCAACAAAAATGTGCATCCAGGGCTTCTGTTGAGCACAAGGCTTGGTATGCCACATACACGTGTCCTACACCAACCTGTCTTCCACACATCCAGTAGCCCTGGGATGCAGCAGCTGAGATCTGGAGAGAATTTCAGTGATTGTATTCCTCTGGTCAGTAGATATTTTGGTAAATGTACAGAGATGAGAGAAGACAATGAAGGCATTGGGGCATTCAGAGGTACTAGGAACTACTGTCTATTGGGGAGGGTTGGGAAGAGAGGTGGTAGAAGGGGAGATGGCATCAGGGTTGGGCCAGGCTGGGTAAGCTTTTGCTCAGGAGTGACACAGGCAGAGTGCGTGAATCCAGCTGGGGTGATGGAGCATCCTGCTGCTGGATGTGCTAGACAACTGTGGGAGTGTTCAAAGCATGCTGCGAGCACAGCAGACCTTGGTGTCTGGGTGATGGGTCCCTCCTGCCTCCTCCAGCACTTACTGACAGCTGAGTCCAGGCTGCCACCTGGAGGTATCAACTCCTTATATTCTGGAGATGCATATCTTGGAAACCACAACCTTTTACCAAATTTGGAGGCCACTCTTCTACAGCAACCCCAAAGTTATTGGGGATAGTGATGGCAGCCATTTTTCTGGATGTACACTTGAAATATCCAGTTATTTTCTGCTCTCAACCTCCTGAGGGAGTTTCCTCCCAAGGGAAAGGAGACCCATCATGAGCAGGTAGGTGTTGCTGTGGATGTAGAGCCATGTTTCTGTCCTGCAGCTGTGCAGGAGGAGAGACAGAGGAGCAGGGAGCGGAGCGAGAACGAGGCCGAGTCCACAGGCAGTGGCAGTGAGGACATGCCTGTGGAGAGGATCCTGGAAGCTGAGCTGGCAGTCGAACCCAAAACAGAGGCATACAGCGATGTGAACACAGAAAGCTCGGTAAGGGGCACTAACATCAGTTGCAGCTCAAGATGAGAGCTTTTGAGGTGTGGTTGAAAAGCCCCATATGAACAGCTAGCATTTTGCAAGGGTTTTTTGTTTCACACTGCCTAAGAATCACTAACAGTTTTTCATTTGAAACTACTCCGAGTGACTAGAAAACAGCCTATACATTAAGTTCCTAGCAGTTTTTTCCAGTTCCCTTTGCTTTCAATCAGTCAATAGAGGGATAGATGAATGCTGGAGAAGCTCAGCCCTGGACCCTGCTTGTCTGCCCCAGTGACCAAGACAGGTTTACTGTTGTGGTTTTACTGGTTTGGATAAAATGGCTGTTCATGCCCATTCAGAGGCTGCATGATGATGATTAGGTATGCCTTGGGGAGTAGGACTACAGCCTGCCATGCAGGACTTGCTTTGCAAAGAACAGCAAGCAAACGGAAAAGTTTAGCAACCAGCTGATTTGACAGGTTGTAGAGGGGATAGTGTTAATAAATATCTTCTTTTCCCAGCACAGCTGAGATTATTGGTAGTTTGATTATTTTACTTGTGGCTCTGAGTATCATTCATTTGCTCTGATACTGTGTGCAATACAGACAGTGATTGTCAAAGATTTTTCATTGACGAATTCTCCTCTTTTCCCATTGATATTGCTCTTAATTAGACAAATGACCCTGTCACGAACATATGCCATGCAGCTGACAAGCAGCTCTTCACACTTGTTGAGTGGGCCAAGCGAATCCCCCACTTCTCTGACTTGACGCTGGAAGATCAAGTCATTCTCCTCCGGGCAGGTAATGTTCCCACCTGGGGTCTCTGGGGCTATCCCTGGCACTGTTGTCCTTTCTCTGGGCCATGTGCTGTGCAAGCCAGGCTGGATAGTGAATGTGAAATCTTGATCTGATCCATCCCTGCTTGCCCTGTCATACGGCAAGCAATCCATCATGAGCCATGATGAGCAGTTGGTAGAGGCTGTCCATGGGGCAGTGGAATCTGCTGTTTGTTCCTCTCTTTATGCAGACATGTAGGAGAGCTGGAGAAGTGTGAATAATTATGTCTTGTTAATGTAATTCCTATAACTGCAGAACTTGCTGTGTGTGGGACACACAGGTGTATAATGTGCAAAATGAAAAAACAGTGTCTCCCCCCTTCCCTCAGCCTTTTTCTGCACCTTCCTTGCTGCTGGTCACAGTTTGCCACCCCTTGCAGTGTTGGCAAGGGTGCAGTTGGCACTTGGGGTCCCATCTCTCTTGAGAGCCGAGTCTGAAGCCAGCAGGGCTTCAGCTCTCCTGCTTTATGTGAGACTGTTTTTCTTTTGCTAACTACCTCTTGTGTCCTCCACACCTCATCTTGCAGGATGGAATGAGCTGCTCATTGCCTCATTCTCCCATCGCTCTGTGTCAGTGCAAGACGGCATCCTTCTGGCCACGGGCTTGCATGTGCACCGCAGCAGTGCTCACAGTGCTGGTGTGGGCTCCATCTTTGACAGGTATGTATCCTGTTTCTGTCATGCCCTAGCAGCAGTGGTCAGGCTGGCTCTGTCTTTCCCTTCTGAATGGGCAACATGTCCTTAGTAAGAACCCACAGTCATCTGGGGCAGAACTAGCTTAGAATGAGGAGGGGATGCTTGTCTGGCTTAAAAACCAAGAATGGAATGAAAGCACCTTGGAAAGGGATTTGCAGCTGCAGAAGGAGGTCTTCGGTTGAGTGTGCAGGGAGAGGAATGCTTCTCTGCCTTTTCTCAAGAGTTTGTCATAACTGGATCTAGAGCTAATACTGATCAGCTAGAGCTTTAGCTGGCAAAGCCTTATACCCCAACTTGCTCATATAACAACTGCACATATACTGTCTATGCCATGCCTGCTCCTTGCCGGGCATGACAGTGCATTACCACTCTTACACAAGTGGCATGCTTCACAGGTTTTGTATATTGAAACATGGAGAAAAACCTGTGTGGTTTTCCTTAAGTGACTGCAAATTGTTCTCCATGGTCCGAATGGAGCACAGAGGCCAGTTGCTGAGCAATATGAGAGCAGGAGTGAATTCGATGCTCACTTCTCTGGATGCTGTTGAGGAGTGTGCAGTATGGTTGTCCCTCAAAGCTACCTGTTCCTGCAGAGAAGAATATGGGATATTCCCAGTGCCTATCCCAGATGCTTTTCAGCCTCTAACCTTGATGTCTGTACCTGTCTCTGTCCGTTTTCCCACCCATGTCACCCATATGCAGGGTTTTGACAGAACTGGTGTCCAAAATGAAAGACATGCAGATGGATAAGTCGGAGCTGGGCTGCCTTCGAGCCATTGTCCTGTTTAATCCAGGTAAGTCTGAGGCCTGGGGCAATCCCAGGTGACATGCACACCCTTTGGGCCATGGCAGGTCACAGGCAGGAGGGCTGTGGCAGTGAGCATCAGGCAGGACTGCAGACAGATTTGTCCCGGTTCCTGGGTCTGTGATTACAGAAAGCCTGAGTCCTCTCCCACCCCTGCAAGCAGTCACTCTGTTTGCAGTGGAAAGGTCCCCTCTGCAATAATTGCTTCCCTACCTCTGTTTTCTCTCTTATCCAGATGCTAAGGGTTTGTCCAGCCCTTCAGAAGTGGAATCACTGAGGGAGAAGGTCTATGCCACGCTGGAAGCCTACACAAAGCAGAAGTACCCGGAACAGCCAGGGCGGTGAGTGTCTCCAAGCAAGGCAGGCAGCTCAGGGCAGCACAATACCCACCCTGGGAAGAGGAGACTGACGTGGAGATGCCTGTGCTAGCTCTGCCTGAGCCACCCTCAAAACTACAAGAGGTCACCAGCCAAAACTGCTTGAGCAGCCCAGCTCCCGCGAGCTGGCCTGTGCCCTCAATGCCCTACTCCTGGGCCAGAGCCTTTCTGGTGCTGGTAGCATGCATTTTTCTTGCTTTTCAGTCCAATCCTACCCTCTACTGGCCGAGCTCTCGAAGCGCCGGCAGCTGGACCCGTCCCCTTCGCCGCCAGCCAAGTGATGCGCCCACAGCATCTTCTGCTATTTTTGGCTCTGGATGTGACCGCAGGGCACTCAAGCGGGACGTGGGGAGGGGGAGGCTATCTGCCTGCTGCACCCCCTTGCAGCCGCGCCTCGAAACGGGAGGCAGTGGCTGGCAGAGGCACTGCTGAGGGGTTGCACACTCTCAGGAGGCTGGGGATTCTTGGAAGATTTTTTTCCCAAGAAGGATTTAAATGGCACCATGGAGATGTAAGTCTTGAAGTGAAAACCTGGATGTATTTTTTTTTTTTTATTTTAAGTTTTAAAATGCTAAAATCTCTTTTGGAAAACATGCATCTCTGGAGACATTCAAGGCCAGGCTGGATGTGGTTTTGGGCAGCCTGATCTAGTAAAGATGTCCCTGCTCATTGCAGAGGGGTAGGACTAGATGACCTTTAAAGGTCCCTTCCAACCCAAACTATTCTATGATTCTGTTACCTCCACACATGCGGAGAGAAATGCTTATTTTGAAGGCATAGGGAAATCTAAGATGGAACTTCCCAAGCCGTTTTTGAGGAGAATTTGGGTTCTGCTCTCCTGAGTCCTTGGTGCAGGCTTGGAAACACTTGTGAGAGGGCAGCCAGTGCCTCCCACATGCTTCTGACTCTGCTTTCTTCCAGGTTTGCCAAACTTCTTCTGCGTCTGCCGGCACTGCGGTCTATTGGGCTGAAGTGCCTGGAGCACCTCTTCTTCTTCAAGCTGATTGGAGACACCCCCATTGACACCTTCCTCATGGAGATGCTGGAGACACCCCTTCAGGTCACTTGAGGGTCTGGCTTCTCTCTGGCCAGATCCTGTCCCCACCATGCCCCTGCACAGCTTCCCACCCCTCCGCTCTGAGCCTGTGAGAACTCCCACCCTCCCTCTGCTCCTCCTCGGTGGGATTGTTGTGTTTTGTACAGCTGTAAATCACCTCCTCTAACCCTCCCTGGCCTGGCTGTGGGAGGTCACAGATCCTCTGACCAGTTAACCATTCCCCTGCCCCCTGTACAGATAATTGCTTTAAATTATTTTTTCATTCTCAATAAAAACCAACAAAACAATAAAATAATATGAGAGAGGCACTGATTTGAGCTGGCAGAGCAGTGTCCTCTTTGGCTGTGGTCACAGGTCTGGCTTGGGATGGGGCTAAGGGACCCTCCTGAGACTCTTAGGCAGCCCAAATCAGGGCAGAAGCATCGCTCAGGGTATTGCTGATTGTGCTGATGGTCACAGTTCTCTGTCCAAGAGAGAACAGGTATTGTAGCTCCTGCTAAGGAACGATCTGGAGAAACTTGCTGCTTTGAATCAGAACACTTCATTCCACCATCTTACAAAGAAATTCCTGGACTTGGAATTTTTTTATATTTTTAAAGTAATTTTAAAAGTTACTTTTTAATGTACTTTTTTGTATTCTGAGCTAGTTCAGTCACTGAAAGAAGAACTGAAGTGCTTCATTTTGGTTCAGATAGAGTATTTTGAGGTGACCCAAACCTGGCATGCTCATGGATAATTTTCAGTTTTCTGAAGCTTCACAGATCCTGTTCTCAGGCTTTTTTTTTTTTTTTTTAAAAAAATTTATTTTATTCCCCCTCCATATTTTTTCACTGAAAAGAGGCTCTTGAACCCCAAATTTATATTCTCGTGCCTTTATAAGTGAAACCTGCAGAGATGGGAAGTACAAGACACCCAACACCTGCTTCAAAGGTCTGCCTGGTCTTTTCCCTGTTCAAATGGCACTGCTGGAGCTTCCCATCACAACTGAGCTAACCAGAGTCAAATGAGTTAAAGACATTAATTTGTTCAATATGCGGAGCTTATCCTGGTGGGAAAATGTCCTCCCAGGAACCCAGCAAAACTGTCTGCATTATTATTCATAAAACAGGTGTAGTGTTAAGTGATCTGCCCCTTCTGACCCTCTCAGCAGACAATGCGGTGAGATGCAGCCGTGCTTCGTCTGTCCGTGTGACAGATTGCAACACTGCCGCTCAGTGACTCAGGGAAGTTCGAGGGGAAGGAGTAGTGACAACAGGATAAAGAAAGAGGGATAAAAATGAAACATTTTGTTAAATATCCCACCCAGGGACATGATTTGTTCTCTAGTATTTCATTGTGAGAAGGAGAAAGAGAATGAAAAGAATAGGAAAAAGAAACAAACCCTCCAAATTATGAAAATGCAAAGTTGTTTGTTTGTTTGTTTTTTCTGGTGATGCTGAAAAGAAGAGGGAGAATTTCAAATAGGTGAAAAGCACTGGTCAAGGGGATATTTTAAGTTCAAAAGGTAATTCTCCATTAAAAGGGAAGTCATTTAAAGCAGGATAATGAACCTGCTCATTGCTGGAATTTGAGAGACTGCACACAGACTGTTGGCATGGTACCCACCCCACACTGCTGGCTAGATAAAGCAAGAGGTTACTTCCAGCCTGGACTGGTACAAGCTTAGAAGCTGTGGGCTTCTAAGAGCTGGTCCCCAACTAGCTGAGTTGGGTTTCTTTCCTGATTATGAAGCCCCTAGTTTCTCTTGACCTCCCTGCTCTCAGGTTTGATGGTTTAAGTTGGCATTAGCAGACTTAGCCAGAGAAGTGCTGCAGGAGCTGATGCCACTGTCTGAAGATAGACCATGTGGAATTAATGCTTTTTGTTTAAATATATAGAGGGAAACCTGAGGATCCTCATGCTGCAGTAGACCTCTTGCTAAAATGGTGTCTGAGTGTTATTTTGGAGCCCTGCAGCACTTGGTGGCAACTCAGAGTGTGCTTTGGCTCTGGGGTGAGCCACTGCAGCACAGCACGCTGAGCCAGTTGGAGGGGACAGGATGCTTCAACACCAGCGGTGCTGTCTCTTTCAGGAGAACACAGTTGTTGCAGCTGTGATTGCATTTACATGGAGCTGCAAGGTTGGAATTTAATTTGGCCAAGGCAATCAAAATCTTTGGGACACGCTCAACCGTCTCTGGTAGGGGGTTAACATAGACAGTGTAATGCCTCTTGGTGGCTTAATTTGAGTCCATGAGGAGGAATTCAGAGTCCCTGGTATTCCACACTAGCAGAACAGTTCAACGTGTGGGCAACAGAGAAAAATAAACTGGACAGAAGAGCGTGATCTGGAGTGCATAGCCCAGATGGTCCTGCACGTGCCACCGCAGTCAGTGTGAGTAGAGCTTGCTAAGTCCCATGAGCGATTCACTTTGACTGTCTTAATGCTGATCTTGTACAACTGCCTGCACCATGAACAGTCACTTTTTGAAGTGGGAAATGATGGGATATGATAACCAAGACAAAGACTTCCTGCTCCAAGGGGGCCATCTGTGGCTCCTGGACATGCCTACTCTTAGGAGTCTACCTTGAGATCCTGAAAAGGTGGTTTCTGGGTTCTGTGTCACATGGTCTCCAGGTTGCACTTTGAGCAGGTCTTGTCCTCTTTCTCCAGATGACTAGCAGGTAGTAGGGTGGTTAAGACCATGAGACATGGTATATGAATTCTGTAAATAAGAGACTGCTTGCTCGTCTGAAAGTGTCATGAGCAGACAACTGTCCTACACAGAGGAGAAAAGTCATTGAGGACCTGAGGTTTGTCCTAACTGTTGGATTCCCCAGTCTGTTGTCTCTATACAATGGTGTCCAAATGCTGCTTAAGAGCAGTGCCTTGCAAAGCATAGGAGCAAGTCTCTACAGCCACCCCGAGGAGCAAATCCCACAGCATTCAGTAATAACTCACAGGTACAGTTTTCCTTCAGCCTGAATTGCTGCAGAAGAACAGCAGCTTGGCATGGTTAGAGCTTGCCCGATCTTCAGTCCTGCAAAAACCTAATTTTCATAAAATAGTAAAAATGTCAATCATGGATAAGCCAAAAAAACCCCCAACTTTTATCATTGCATGCACATTCAGCCCCAGCTTGTGTGGAGTTACAGCTGCACAAAGAATTAAAAAATATCACTGAAGAACTCAAAAATGAAGAAATACCAAAGTTTAATTCTGTTCCAATGTGGTCACTTTTCCTTGCAGACCTGTGTCATGATGGTGCCTTCAAACTCCGGGCATCAGCCACTCTTCAGGCATTAACAAAGAGAGCGTACCAGGATCCAGCTACCTATGCTTCCTACTGAAACTTGGCTTCCCCTGTCTCCTCGGAATTTTGCTCTTGCCAGATACCTGTTCCTGGGTCTTGCCACTCCTTTGAAGATGCAGTTATTGGTTTCCCATAAAAACCTTTACAGCCTCAGATTAAGCTCTGGCATTTTTGTATTGCTCTGGGAATGACTGGTGCAAGACAGTGTGTCATATTCTCTTTCCCACCATGCGTCATATCTCATCAACTTTCAGAGGTAGCAGCAGGTCCCCCCAACATGGACAAGCTTTGTTTAGCACACAGACCAAAGGTTTCAAAGCATTTATTAATTCTGATCTGTTTGCTCTGTGGTGCTCCATGGAGGGGGCTTCAAACAATAGTGGGTTTAGCCACTATGATAAGGACCTCAGAAAAATGAAAAAACCATCAAACTCCATTGCTTGTGCTAAGATGGATTTGTTTCTCAGCCAGAAATCAAGCCAGTGTGTTTTCTTGCCCTGACTTCATTTCGGTTCTGTAGTGGCTGCTTCAGTTTTTACTGAAGTTCAACAACAGCAGTTCTGGATTGGGAATAAAATAAATCCCGAGATACAAAGGTTTGATCTGCATTGCTGAATTTAGTGATTCAAGGTCATGTCCTATAGACCTAAGATGACTTTCAGACACCAATGATGTGACTCCAAACTGAGTGCTGCCACCACTGGCCTTTCCTGTTGTCTGGGCTGGGCCTTGGACTGCCTTCACCATCCCACCTGAGCTTCCCAAGCTGTTCTCTTTGCTACCTTGTTTCTCTGCCTGTCCGCTCTGCATCCCACCCAGCTCTCTGCTGTCCCATCAAAGGCCCAGCTGGGAAGCTAGGGAGGCTGTGCAGACTTGGTACCTCCTGGAGCACCAGAGGGCATGGGGAGGAGGAGGCAGAGGAGAAATTACACTGATTTGGGACTCCTTAGAGCTGATGGTGGCAATGGGAAGCAGTGTGTGTATCCTCTTTCAGGAGATGTTTGCTTTTATCTCATGGTGAGGTACATTGTGGTGGAAAACATGATACAAATACAGAGAAGCCCTGATAAATCCCCAGCCATTTGTCAGTGTTGGTGGAGAAGGACCAACCCAGACCTATGCAAGGCCAGTGGCTGCCACCCCACATCTCTCTTGTCTTTCTCCCTATGCCCTCTGTACAATTAGCTCTACCTGAGACAAGCTTAGCTGGGGGGATTTCAGAGGTAAAGGGAAAGGATTTTACCCTCACACCCCCAAGGATATTTGACAGTGCTGTGGATTGGTTTCTGGCTTGCCCCAGTACTAGGGCTGGCCAACCCAGCTGGGTCTGTAGCAGTTGATGCCTATAAAGAGCTGTGCGGGTGGCAGGAAGGAGAGGGTGGTGTGTTCTTGACAGGGTAAGTGCTATAAAGGTATTTCTCTGAGTGGTGGGCAGGGCTTTGTCTATGGCTTCAGGCATTAAAGGTACCCTGATGATGCTGGTTAGCTGGCCCAGTGACTCCTGTCCCAAGGGAGGCAGCTGGAGTGTGTGTACTGCCCTCTTCCTTGGTCTCCTGTGTGCATGTGTCTGGTTCCAGACCTCCCTGCTTCTGCATGGTTCTGCATCTGCTTTGCTGGGCAGACTTAAGGTGATGCTGCAGGAGGGGTTTGGCTTCCTGCTGCCTGGAGCCATGTTTACTGCTGTGACTGTGGCCACCCACCCCTGAAGTTGAGTGCTGTTGATCTCCTTCCTGTAGTGAACAGTGTGGACCTGCTGGTCCACCCAAGCTCCTCAGCACAAAACATGAGAACTGGGCAACCCCAGTAGGAAGATGGCTGGGAGAAATGTGTGGCCCCTCTTCCAATGCTGTGGGCTTGTTAAGTTGGCAGGTAGCTTCTGTTCAATGCTGTTTTTTCCAGACCACCCAGTTTTTGTAATACCTGGCTGCCTGCAGACCCTACAGCTAGGAGAAAGCCTAGTCCTACTTCTCTTCTGGTTTAATTCTCTTCA